GTGGGGCGGGGTGGGGTGGGATATGGAAGCAGAGAGGAGGCAGTGGCCAGGGAAAGCTTACCTGGAGAGAGCCTGGATGGCTTTCCCCACGTTGTTGTTGATGTCCAGTTCCTTCGTCGGCTCATACTGGTATGATCTGGTCTTGAACAGAAACTTCCAGGGACAGGCCATCTCTGTGGCTTTCCAAAGCAGGTCCCTTCTCTGGACTTAAACTCAGAAGTTCTTCACGGTGGGGCTGAAGAAAGACGAGGAGTTGGTGACGGAAGGTTGACGAAGAGTTTATAGAACTGGCCCTTTGATATGGTTGGTTTACTACAGAATCATACCAAAGCTAACTAACATAAGTCTTGAAGAGCCACTTCATCAATGCTTCACAACCTCTGTTCCTATTTTGGGGTTGGCTCTGGGAATCCTATGGACATAGATTTTAACTCTGCAAAGCCATCAAACAATCTAAAGGAAGAACACTGGACCATAGTTCAACAAGGACATAGCACATAACCCTGTGAACTTCCTTTATCGGACCTGCCAGCCCACCTGATCTGGGCAAGCAAGCTTCAGCACTAGCTGGCCCCAGGCAAGGTGGGGAGGAGGAACCTGCTGGCCACTGAAACATGGGTGCCTTTGCCTGGACCTGCAAGATCTTGTGGGCAATTCTAATTAGCAGCTGTCATGTTATACCTGTTATTGGGGAAAGTGCTCACAGTATAGCTGCCTTTCTTTGAAGATTTTGCAATTGTTGACAATGTTATCTTTTTTATCCTTTGGGAAGGAAATAATTATTTCTGGGGGGAAAAAATGCACTCATGTCTCAATATTTGAGATTATCTCCTTTAAAAATGACCAAAAAAGGTAGACCTAAGTGAAGGCCCAGATCTGGCCTGGGCTTGACCCCAGCACACCTCCTCACTGGAAAAACATTTTGCACTGGGAGGCAATACGGTGATTATAAGAATCATAGAGCCCCCAAAGCTGGGTCAAACCCTGCCTCTACTGGTTACATGACCTAGATTAAGTTATTTCACGGAGACTCATTTCTTCATCCATAAAGTAGGCTTAAGAATGTCCATCTTAAAAAATTTGTTTGGGAGGGGAGAGGTGTATGTCATCAGGATATGAATAGGATAATCTTTGTACAAAAAATTCTTAGCGGATTACTCCCCACTGTCCAGTCTGATTTTTCCAAAAGGTTTTCCCTTGAAATGTAGCAGCCACAGCAAATGTTGCAGGGAAAGAAAAAAAAATCTGAACAAGATGGCCTGTTCAAATGGCCAGACCTCATGTTGGCATCGCTTAGAATTTCCACCAGTTTATCTCTGAGGGCAGAAAATTCCCAAAGTTTTCTGAGTCTTCCCAAACAGGAAGAAACAAAACCCTCTCCAAACAGCAGCTTCCCCAGAAATCAAGACAACTCACCTCACAGCTGCCAGCGCTGGCTCTGCAGGGTACGGACAGGCACACCTGGGGGAGACCTGAGCTTTAAGATCTTCAGAACCGCCTGTAACTCCAGTCCCCTTATCAAGGGTGGCTGAGAGGTTTCACACCAGTGATGCTAGAAAGCCTCAGTCTGCAACTCACTGCCAAGTTCTGATCACACAGGCAGCTAAGAAGTATTTATAGCCACACCACACCATCCAGGGAGACTGTTTTGCATAAAGGTCTCTTTCTGTTTCCGAAGGAAGTATCCCTAGGCTGTGTGTACAGTATGACAGGGACTCCTGGCCTGTGGGTGACCTAATCCTGCTGTGATATCACCTGCTGTGACAACTACTGAGATTCCATCTTCCTGGTCCCCAGTCCAAAAGTTGCAGCTCGTCATTATGAAATGATGGTTTCATTTAACTCAGCCGTGTTACTTCACTCTCAGCATCTGGGGGATTTTTACTCTCTCTCTCTCTCTCAGCAGGGAGTGCCCTGGCTAATCCCTGCCCATCCTTTCAGTTTTCCAGTTTGCGGCAAGAGTCCAGGAAGCTAGGAAATATTGACAGTGGGGAACACACTGGAAAATGCCCAAGTTACAGAATGCCAGGGATGCTGGGTGAGGCCAGTGTTCCAGACAGGTCCCTGACATATTCAGCTTGAGGTTTTTGGAAAGCAACAGAAGCCATTGGCACAGAGAGACTTCTTAGATCTCGCTGTCACTAATGTCTCACCCTGCAGCTCTACATAAGCTATGGTACAATGGCAGGTAGAATTATTTTCTACAGGAAAAAAGTTCCTTGGTTACAAAAGAAGTTATAACTTCTTCTATGGAAAATTATAATTTCTTATAATCCTATGTATTATAGTACTTCAAATACAGCATTTCTATATGGTATGAATTGTTCCATTAGAAAAGTAGAATCACAACAGCCTTAGGGGGGAGTCAAAAGATGGATGGATAAAAGCCACCCTCAAACTCACCACCCTAACACATGGGACTGCCACCATCCATTCAATTCCTTCCTGTCTTTCTCAAATTACATGCAGCCTTATAATGAATTGAATTTGTCTAAGATGGACAAACTAAGTTACAGAAAGACATAAATAGAAGGTCAAAGATCTTTGTTAACCAAATGAATCAATAAAAAAAATAGTAGTAGATTGCAAGGAGTTTCAACATACCAAAGCCATTCTTCTTTCAGGCTTCGGCCAGTTCATTCAAGGAAACCAATACCGCTTGAAGAAAGGTGCAAGAGTCCCTGGGCCCAGGGAGTCCACAGCCTAAAGAAAGAAATGGGTAATTATAGTACAGAGTGGTACATGCAGTGATAGAGGGATGGCACAGCACGGACGTAGCTATATCTGCATTGCTCCGGGAAGGCTCACAGGGGAGAGGACGCGAGGGCAGGGTTTTCAGGGGTGAATAGGAATTTGCTTCACTCTGACTCCTGTACCTACTCCCATATAAGTCTGTCTATACTTGCAGCAAATACATGTAGTAACTCCTCTAACTCCTCCAACAACCCTGTGAAGTAGGTACTATGGAATCCTCTAGAACCCCATCTAGTTGGCATCAGAGCACCTGGTTGAATTTGCTTCAGAAAATGCAGTTATTTTGTTATTTGATCTGTCAAACATGTACAGTTGGGCATTGGATGCATGGGCAGTTAAATCCCAGGGCGTGTGGGCATTGCCATTCACTTGAGACTGGTGCCCTGCCTTGCTCTCTGAGATGCTCCCGCCCTTGATGGAGAGGACCTTGTCCAAATGCAGTTTCTGGGGAGTGTCTCCACATCCTCATTATCTTGTTGTCAGCTTACCTCCTTGAGGGGCCTCCCTTGCATGACCCCCCCCACACACACACACACAAAAGTATATGGCGCTTACAACCATCCAGCTGCCTGTGTGTCCATTGCCATCTTTGCTTTCTCACCCCATGGACAGGTGTGGAAATCAATGCACCTGGAATCTCAGGTGAATCTGTAGCAGAGCCAGGCAGGAACACAGATCTCCTGTCTCCCCACTAAATCAGGAACCCTTAGGGGTAGGGACCATGCTGTTCTCGCCACCCAGTATCCCCCACACCAACTGATTGACACAGGGTGGGCACTCAGGAAAGCATTAACTGAATAAATGATGAATGGAATGATGAGTGGTGCCAATCAAAGGGCCTCTGGAATGCGTGACGCAGGGTAAGGGCTCAGTAACTGTTTCCTTTCCCTGTTCCTTTGCATTCTGGGAACGTCATCAGCCTGAATTTCAAGGCTGCCACATTACCTCGGGGCCCTGCTCTAACATGTCATCTGCCAATCATGACGTCCTTGGCCCGTGGCGGGGTTGGGTCAGCAGTTACTGTCCAACCGAGCACCAGGCTTTGAAGACATGACTGGAATTAGCTTGAAAGGTCCTGGGTTCTCTGCTGAGCTGCTGTGTGACCTCAGAGAAGCCACCGCTCATCTCCGGCCCCAACTTTTCACATGACAAATGGTGGCCAAGATAAAGTGAATAATGAGATATAATAAAATGCTTTGAACTGTGGAGCAAAAAGGCAACCAAACAAGAATTTTTGGTCCCTGCCATGGGTCAGAGAATAATAATTTACCTTTAGACAAAGAGCAAACAGGTAATATGACCTGCCTTCCAAACTACCCTTCCTCAGAGGGGTCAGCTCTCCACCACAAACGTTTGCTTTTAAATTCCCAATTCTCCTTCTCTCTGTAACATTACATTCATTTATTTCTTTTTAATTGGGATAAAACTCACATCACATAAAGTCCACCATTTTAACTATTTGAAAGTGTAGACTTCAGTGGTTTTTAATATACTCACAGTATTGTGTGTAACTATCACCACTATCCTAATACTCTCTTAATCGGTGAACAGTGAAAAAGGAGTAAAAATAACAGTGAACATTTTGAGACACAAAGAGGTTAAGAGATTTGCCATGGTCACCCAGCAGGCAGTTTCTGAGCCAGGACAAACAGCGGACCCTGATGCTCTTGTCTGCAGGTCCAGGGCTGGCTCTATCCTGGGGGTTGTCATGGATCCTGTGGCTTTCGGGGCTGCATGGCTGCTCCCCCCACTCTGGCCCAGCTCCCCCAACAGGCCGCGTTCCTGGGCTGCTTCTGATGATGGACGCAGCAGATGAATGCTGCCGAGGAGAAATCAGAGTATCTTGAAGGGCAGACCTGGGACAGGTGGGCCCCTGGGAGGGTGGGGATGGAGGTTCCGAGGCTGCGGTGGAGAAAAGCCCATCTCCCTCCATTACCAGCACATCACGAGCACCCCGCCAATAGCAACCAGCACTCGTCTCATCATTCTGGGCCTGATTTTTTTCACCAAATAAAATAGATTTCTCCTACACCAAGTTGTGGAGATGGTTCAGCTCCAGTTGACCCTTGGGAGTTAGCAACTCTGAAGCTCTTTCTACAAAAACAATGACCAGAGAGAACACTCACTAAACAAGGCATTTATCTGGACCCGCTGTTTAACCCACACAACAGCCTGTGAAGTGAGAGTAATTACTAATCCCATTTTACAGATGGGGAAACTGAGGCTCAGCCAAGTGAAGTGGTTTGTCCAAGACCACACAGCCAGGCAGAGGTGAGGCTAAAACCCTAGAGCTCCAACTCACAGGCCGGAGTTCCCATCCAACTTTCCCCTTCCAACTTTCCACCCGCTGTGAGGGGCAGAGCCAGAACACAGTCCCAGGGGATCGGGCCTCCTGCGCCACACCCCACTTTCTTGGAACCTTGTCCTTCTCCACCCTCCTGTAATTCTCTATGACAAAGTAAATACCGCTGCCAGGGATCCAGCACATGCTCGATAACTATAGCCAGGCCCTGAGCTTTCAGCATCTCAGCCGGTCCTCCAGCAGCCCTCTGCGAAGGTACTGATTTCATAAGTAAGGAAACTGAGACACAGAAAGTTTGAGCAACCAGCCCAATGTCACTCAGCTCCTAAGGGGCAGAGCTGAGGCTTGGCCCAGGTCTGAGACCAAGGTCCTCGCTGGGTTTGCAGATGACTCCCCACCAGTGTGCCCCTGTGTGTGTGTATGCCCATCTCTGCATGTGAATACACCCCAGGGGCAAGGGAAGGACGTGGCAGGAAGGAGGTGGGAAACTGAGGCCAAGGTAAGAGCGGAGGAGGGCCTGGAGTTGACGATTCTCCCCCAGGTACCAGCATCTGGTGCCAGCTCTGTGCAGAACAAGGCAGACATGGGGGCAGGGGGAGGAGACAGGGAGGAGAGACAGCCCCGCCGGCTGCGTGCCCCTGCTGCACAGAGGCCCCCGTGGGACCCTCTCCCCAGCTCTTTGAGGGAGCTACTGTCATCTCTAATTTACAGAGAGGGAAAGTGACTTGCCTGAGTCATCGGGGGAGTAAGGGGCAGAGCCGGGATTTCAACCCAGAGCTGTCAGGCTCCAAAGATAGGTTCTTTCTATGCCATGTGTTTATGGGGCGTCTGTTAGGTAGGACACAGCACAATGGTGGGCAAAGGGGTGACCCCAAAGACATAGCCTTGTCCTCCTCACTCTCAGAATATGCACAACAAGGGAGGGTGGGCCACCCTTTGCTGCACCCTAAGCGCTACGAGGGCAGGAGGACTCTGTCACCCTTATCGCTGCATTCCTGTGGTACACATAGTAGGTGCTCAAATGTTGATTTCATGGAGGATCTGTGCACATCACTCTACCCAACCCCGTGACAACCCTGCAATGCAAGTGTCATTGTTCCCATTTCACAGGCAGGGTACTGAGGCTCCGAGAGGTGGCCCACTGGCTTAAGGACGCATGGATCAAAACTGGACAGCCAGAAATGCAGGTGGGCACCCTCCCAGCTCCGAAGCCAGGAAGCTCTCCCCCAAGGGGCTCTGCAGTGACTCTAGTGCTCCCCGAAGTGCTCACCTGCGCTGCCCAGATGCCAAGGACACTGGCCTTCAGGGGCTGGAGAGTGGGGTTACTCAAGGAGGCTGAGATCCTTCTGCAAAAGAGACACTTAAAGGACAGGAGAGCTACATGGGGTGAGAGGACAGCGGCGGGTGGCTCAGTCCCAAGGGAAACCTCAACCTCCATCATTTCTAAATGTGAGCATTCATGGTGAAGATGCTGTATCTCTCTGGACCCAGGGAATTCCCACTGTCGTCCAGGAAGCTACAGCTCAGCAGCTCTGGCACGTGGTGTCCCAACAGGCGTAAAGAAAGTAGTAAAGCGACGCTGTGTGGTAGCAATGGCGAGCCACAGGTTCTCAGGGAGGTTGTGCCACCAGCTCTCGGGGCCAAGGTACCTGAGGCAACTCAGAGGGGATTTGGGGTGGTATCTGGAGTAACAGTCCTTTTTTATTTTAATAGTTTACATATTTATTGCTGCGATTACTGCCTGTGACAATTTATTGATTTTTACACTTGTGGAAAATAAACATTTATTTTAGAAATACATTTAAGTTTGGGCCGGCCAAGTGGCGCATTGGTTAAGAGCTGGCTTGGGACGCCAGAGGGCCCCGGTTCGGATCCCACGTATGAGGGCCAGTGACACTGCCCTCCACAGCTAAGATGCTGAACAACAGCTCAACCTGGAGCTGGGCTGCCGTGAGTCACCGGCGACAGTGTAGGCTGCAGTAAAGGTGCAGTGGGTTGCCATAAGCTACTGTGTGTGGCTGGCAGCCAGCATGAGTGGCCAGCAGCTGCCGTGAGCGGCCGTCCAGAAGCCGGCCACTTATCTGCATTGCCCAGGAAGAGCGCAATGATGGTGCCAACTTGGGCCAGTGAAGCAACGTCCTCCACAACTAGACTGAAGAACAAAAGGACAGCAATTTGTCTGTTCCCCTTCCCCCAATTCCCCAGCGCTGTTCCCATCCCCCAATTCCCCAATAAAAATCCTTTAAAAAAAAAAAAGAAAGAAATACATTTAAGTTAAAAAAAATCGTAGATTTAAGGGAAAAATATTTAAGCAAATAATAGTGTAGGTGGTCTGCAGGTGTTACAGAAATTATGAAGGTGGGACATAAGTAACCACAAGGAAAGTATACTAGGGGACATGTGAGTTTGGTTGTGTGTGCGTGTGTGTGTCTCACGGCAAGTCACGTGTCCTGTCGAGGTTTCACTCCCCTTCCCGTAAGAAGAAGGTGATGGGAAGAGGAGCCTGAGGATCTTCCCCATTCTAGTACCTGAAGGCATTAGATTAGGTCTCAAACAGGCCCCTGGGCCCTAAGCCTCACGTCATTTGTTGGCTGACCACTGGAGGGCGTGAGTCACACAAATTCCAGCAGCTGAGC